TCTAAAAAATATCCACAAAAGACCAGGGCTGCCTATATTTTGGCCATGACTTACATTCTTACAAATATTGTGAGTATTGTCATTATGAATAAATTAGTTAATGAAAACAGATGGGTGAGTCCTGAGGTGCTCACCAGGCTGGGAGTGGCACTAGGCTTTGTGTATATTTTATCCTGTTAATAAGCAGCAGCAGCATCTTCAGCTAGATAGGGCAAAAACCAAGTTAGATATAGGCAGAAAGCAAGTGTTAAGGTTTGAGAATGTCATTGTAAGCAGTAGTAATTTCATCTTTTTTCCCTTTGTTTTCTAAGTGAACTGTAGCTCTAAGTCGTGAAGGTAGATCAGTGATCACTGTCCTGGTGTGCATTTTGATTTATAAAATTATCTAGCGATTAAGTATTTTCAATTTAGTTGCAATTAGATAAATGTACGTTATTGTATTTCATAAGAGGTTCTCCCTGTGCATAATTCTAATATTTATGAATTTCAGTTACTAAGGTTTGGTTAAATAACGCTAGTGCCCCGACAACACGGTTCAAATTTCAAATACCATGGTATATTAACTCCGAGTGATTGCATAAAGCATGTACTTCATTACTAACTCTTCAGCCGACAAAAATCACTGCCTAAGTAACAGATGTGCATCATGATCAGTGACAGTCATGTCACATCTTTCTAATTCTGTCAGTGATCAGCCACTGTGCTGCTTTTATTCACTTTGCACACAGGCAGCTAAGCTTGTAGTTCTATGGTGAACCTACATGACATTTTTCAATAGTTAATGGACAGAAGGAATTAGTCACAAAGTTGGAAGTGTAGCAAATAAATGAAAATTGATAATGCTAGAAGCCAAAATGGAATCAAACATAGATGAGAGTTACAGAGGAGAGCTGACTGGCAGTGACAACCGTGCACTATTTGAGAGTCTGATTTACAGCCAGGGGAATTTAGTGAAGATCAACTTAAGAATATAAATGAGAACAGTGGATTTGACAAAAAGGATGAAGAGATACCAGAGGAAGTCATGCCAGCAAAAACAAACATATTAAAAACCAACCCCGAAAACAATCAAAACTGACTTCTTGTTAAAGAGACTTAGAAGAAATTTCATGACATCGAATGCTTGAAGGATAAAATGTTGACAGCCAATCCAAATTCAAAGGGAGTATGAGTTTGTCAAGGCACAGAAAAGCTGCTTGTTCTGTACCTTAAGTAGTGAGATGAGGAGGAGGCAAGTGCTATTCAAATAACCTAAGTTTTCTGCCAGAAAACTGTTTGGTGTTTTAAAATGCAGTCAAACAAATATTAGTTGATGAATTTTTGCATCTCCCTATTTGTTTATAATCAACAGTGAGAGGTTTTAATGTTTTGACAGAAATTTGTAACGGTCATTGCCCCATCATAGATTTCTCCCGTTGATCATTCAGATTGCATGGTGTAATTTCAGCTGTTGTGCCCATTTTGATTATTTTGTACTCTTCTGCAAAGCCAAGACTACCTGTGTTCAATTTTTGCACGAATCTTTTAGAAACCTACTTAAAATACATGATGAAGTTACTGGCTTTTAAAAAAAATGATTTGAAGTACTCATATCCTTTCTCTATCAAAAGAGGGGCCTATAAAGTTTAATCAATTATTAGTTTTTTAATCTTTTTTTTTTTTGAGGTGGAATTTTGATGTTGCCCAGGCTGGAGTGCAGTGGCATGATCTTGGCTCACTGCAACCCCTACCTTCCAGGTTCAAGTGATTCTCCTGCCTCAGCCTCCAAGTAGCTAGGATTACAGGCATGTACCACCATGCCTGGCTAATTTTGTATTTTAAATAGATACAGAGTTTCACCATGTTGGTCAGGCTGGTCTTGAACTTCTGACCTCAGGTGTTCCATGTGCCTTGGCCTCCCAAAGTGCTGGGATTATAGGTGTGAACCACCATGTCCAGCCTAATCTATTCTTTTAAGTTGTAAAATGAACGGCCTTTCCAAACAGCTAACTGGGAAGAAGGAATTTTAATTTTGTGTTAACAAATACGAAGAGATCGCATTAAAAATGAACAAATCTGAGGGTAGCAGGTCCACATTAGTTAAGAGAATAGTCTTGTTCCCTCAGAAAGTTTACATAGAAGACAGAATATGAAAACATTCAACTTCAGCTATGCCATGTATAAGTAATAGAACTCTAAGCCTTAAAGTTTGTGTTTCCTGGTCATTGAGTTACCACAGAGCTAGGAGTTCTCTTGAAATTATTTTCTCACCGAAGCAATAACATGTGAGGGTGTCTGATGCCTGAAGTCTCATTTATCCTAAGGCTTTTCAATTGAATGTTATCTAGGCCCATTACACAGTAGAAGCCATTCAACATCTGTGTACTTCCCGGCCACTTCAGCTGCGAGAGTCAATTGTGAGATTATTGGAGACTTTCTACATATTAATGTTCTCTGGGTAATGTTCGGGGATGGAGCATAGAAACCAAGCTGTGATCAGGCGGCTACCACTCTGTGTTTAAAGTAAGCAAGAGTCTCAAAAACTCATCTTTTTTAAACACAGAAGACTTGCTATGATTTTCTTTGATACTAAAACTGCACATATAACAAAAATGGAAAGGCTGAAAGCTTCAAAGATTAAATCACCCTAAGGAAGTTCCTTACCGATACTGGTGTTGGTCTTGTCATGCAGAAAATGTAAGCAGGTTGCTGTGGTTTATAGATGCTGCTGTGGTATACTTACCACATGCACTTAAACTGCGTTTCAGGAAAAGTTTGTTACAGAAATGGCGCCTACATCCTTGGAAGTGTTTTTATATTGCTTTACCCTATCTTCTGGTGATCAGCAGCTCATACTTATTTTTTCTGTTGAGATAAAGTTTATGTAACATAAAATGAACTATTTTAAGTATGTAATTCAGTAGCATTTTGTACATTCACAGTGTTGTACAACCACCACCTTTTATCTAATGACAAATCATTTTCATTAAGCTAAAAGTAAAACCCCTTACCCCATCCATTAAGCAGTCACTTCTCACACCCCTCCCTCCAGCCCCCAGCAGCCACCAATCTGCTACCTATATCTATGGATTTATCTGTTCCAGATATTTCATATAAATGGGGTAATACAATATATAATGTGTGGTATATTCTGTTTTTTTTTTCATTTAGCTTGTATTTTCAAGGTTCATCCATGTTGCAGCATGTGTCAGTAATATCATTTCTTTTAATGACTAAAGAGTATTCCATTGTATGGACATACCACATTTTGTTTATCCAGTCATTTGATGGACATTCAGGTTGTGTCCACATTTTGGCTATTTTAAATAATGCTTTGATGGACAGAGGTGTACAAATACCAGTTTCAGTTCCTATTTTCAACTCTTTAGGTATATAGCTAGGAGAGGAATTGCTGGGTCGTTGGTAATTCTATGTTTAACTTTCTGAGGAACCACAAAACTGTTTCCTCCCCAGCAGCTTTTATTTGCACCGTAAATAACAAACGAACATGCAGTCCCATTTCTGATACTTTCTAGGGCTGATCCCTGCTCTTTACTCAGTCTACCCCAAGAGAGACGATAGAGTGACTTCCCTGATAAAGTCTGTTCTCTTTTGTCTCCTTGGAGGTGAATTTACTTAAATAATACATGTCATTCTCTTCTTTCCTCCGTGATGAAAACATAGGGCAGGCTCCCCAGAGGAGGGCTGTTTTGGTCTCTGCTAACATAAGTATTCACAGTGCAAATAAAAGCTGCTAAGTGGAAAACAGTTCTGTGGTTCCTCAGAAAGTTAAACATAAAATTACCAATGATCTCCAATTCCTCTCCTAGGTATATACCTAGAGAGTTGAAAATAGGAACTCAAATAGATATGTGTACATCTCTGTTCATCAAATCATTATTCACAATAGCCAAAAGGTGGAAACCACCTAAATGTCCATCACGTGATGAATGGATAAAAAAAATGTGGTATATCCATACAGTAGAATATTGTTCAGTCATTTAAAGGAATGATACTGCTGATACGTGCTGCAACATGGACGAACCTTGAAAATATAAGCTAAATGGAAGAAATCAGTTACAATATACCACACTGTATATATTTTATCATCCTATGATGGATAACATGTGGATTACATTCATATGATGGATAAGTGTTGCTCATTCTGGGGTCGTGGTTAGAGGCCAGTTAGGTTTTGTTCTTCAATGGCCTTCAGCAAAATAAATACCAACATTTTGTCTTTCATCTGATCTTTGTTGTTGTTGGGGATTTTTTCCCCCTGCAAGTTATCTGGAACCTGCATATAGTTCAGTGTGCCATTTACTGCTTTTGTGGTGTTTAGAGAATGCGAAACTTAGAATGCAAGACGTTATGATACCAAAAGAACTTGATCTTTATAGATGTGGCCTGGAATTACAGACTCACTGTCTGTCACTTACTTTTAGTGACCACTTGGAGAATTTACCTAATATTTTTGTTTCAATTTTCTTATTAGTGAAAAGGGGGGAAATCCTACTCACCTTTCTTATATACTGTGGGGCTCACCAGAGTATCAAGGCCAGTGCATGTTAACAACAGACAACCCCCCAAAAAAGTAAGATTCTTTCTAATTAACCTTTTTTGTTTCTGACACTTTAATAGCTTTTCATAGTGTACACTAATGCTGTGAATTTGAATTTTAAAAACTTGACTACAGAAGCTCCAGCAGGATACTTGTCTTCAGGAATACGGTACAGGTAGAGAAGTCAGTAAGCCTCCCATCATCAATTAGAAAATAGGTCACTTTACATGGTAAGCATTCATCAGCCAATATGTGATTATTTAATGAGTGCCTGTCCACTTCTCCACCAAGATCATTTCAAGCTCTGAGATTTTAGAAGTGACTCTTATCTTGAGGAAAAACATTTTGAGACAACTCTAATTCCATAAAGCGTCGTTACTTCATATGGCATCATCTCTAGATTATCAGCATATACCTACAGTAAGAACTGCTCTTACCTTTTCTAATATTCTCATTCTAGGTAACACGTCACCTTGTCAAACTTTTTGACAGCATTGCAGACCTGCAGTTTGAAGACAGTCAGGATGTTTCTGCACACAGGGCAGTTGGAATGTACAGCAAAGAGGAGGAGTATGTCCCATTCCAAGATGAGTGTGAATGCGTGGGCCATGTAAGATTTGATTATGATGTTTTCTATGCTAGGGGAGTAATTTCAGCATACTCTTTGAAGGTTGAATTGAACAAGAAAAAGATTCAAGTCAGGTCAAATCAGGCTCTGCCTAGTTTTGTGTAGGGAGGTTCCTTTTTACCTATATCCATGGTGACAGAGGGCTCCTCTGCCATGCGTCCCAGTTTCTACTTATGTGGCTTCGGCACCCAGCAGGGTCTCAGAGATGCTAGGAATTGAATTAGTCAGAAGCAGCTGTCACAGATTGAATGAGTGACCCCAGAATTAGTAGCAAATGCAACTCAGTGACAGTCTCCTACAAAGTGTATTCTATTGTCACCACTGCTCAGAGAACAGAGGAGGGTTCTAGTGAAGCAGCACCTTGCAATAAAGCATGTTTTAAAGAGGCTCTGTGGTTCAGTAGTCCACTGTGAATGTTACAAGTGGTGCCTCATAAATAAAGTTGATTGAGCCTAGCAAGCTGATATCCTATACTCTAATTACCATGTGCACAGAGTTAAGTTAGCATATTCTCTTCTCTCGCAGCCAAATACCTCAAAAATATTCTTAACAGTTATCCACAAGAATGACTCATTATGATTTATGAAAGCATGTCTGGTGTATTCAGATGATTTAGGGGAATTGCATCTTTTTGCGATGATGCTTGGGTTAATTCACAGAGTAACTGAATGAATAGAGCCTGTTGAACCATTTGGGTTGGGGCAGGGGTTCCTTAAAGTATTTGCAGAAATCCTTGCAACCTTATTTTGCAAGGGTTTTCTTTACTCCTTTTTGTTGCCTTTTTATATTGTACCAGAAAACCTGCCAAATGAAGGAGAAGCAGATGGCGGAATACTTTGATTAAAATACATTTTTTGATCTCTTGGGCTTTTTAGGATATTATTATAATGATTAGAAAAAGTTACCATAAACTATCTTGACAAAAGTATGTTGCTGTCTGCTGCCTCCCAGCAAACTGCTCACTGACTGGCACGGTGCCCAGAGGGGGCTAGTCCAGTTGATGGATGTGGTTGTCACTAGCTGGAATCCTTGATGTTGAAAGTTTTTATGGTGCTCTAATTTATTCTGTATAAGCAACTTATGCTAGAGACTTGTAAACATATACAAATTCACCCTCTAATTGCCTTTGTTTTATAAAAAGATGCTTTTAATTTGGTCTTTTTTTCTATTTCTGCACTCTTTCAATTGCCTTCTCCCAGTTTAGTCCATTCGTGTGTTCTTCAGCAGGTGTAGAATACCTACTATGCATCAGATGCTAGGTGAGGCTTTTGGGAGTTCAGAAACGAACAATATATGGCCCTTGTCTTCGAGAAGCTCTTAGGCCCAATGAGAAAATGTATATGCACACAATCAGTGATAATAGAGGTAGCAATTGTTGTTACACGGTGTTGGTTGAGAAGTACCAAAAAGGGAAGGATCCAGCAAGCACCTCATTAGAGCTTAGTTCTTAAAGCATACTGAGTTAGGTTGCCACTGAGGCACAGTCACCTGTACAGGAGATGATATATTGATTTATATGTGTGTTTGGTCTTCCCAAATGAACTGCAAGTTTCTTGACAACAGGTGGCCATGTGGAGGACATGGATCCCAGGGCATCCAGGAGACACACAATAATGACTTAATTAATGAGGGAACTTTTTGTTTGTTGACATTAGGAGTTACCCTTAGTTATTAAGGGTTAGAACAAAACAACCTGATCTAATTCAGTTAAACTGAACTCATGCCTGTTAAAAAGTGCAGTTGTGAAGCAAGAGAGAAGGCCTGTTAATAAGAGATACTGAGGTCATTGCCAGGGCAGTGTTTTCTTTTTCTTTCAAGAGAGGAGAGTGTTGGCTCATTAACCACTTACCACTCTGTCCCAATTCTCCAGAGGTTCTAGGAATGCTGCTGCTCTCTTCACCGGGGCGGAGGAAAAATCATGTATCATCTTCAGAATCTCATGTGATCCTTGATATTTATTTACGATAGTCACTTTTTATTGCTATGGTCAATTATTTGCAAATAGTGTATGTATCCTTTTAGTTATATGCTATCCCAAGGAAACAAATATCTGGATTAATATAACAAAATACATTGGAACAGGATGGAAAACTTGCTAAGGTATGTTTGTGGGAGCAAACTAAACTCGAATTTAAAAAAATAGATTAATTTTTACAAGTCAGCAGTTGTCCTATCTCTCGTAGTCTCCTGTGGTCCAATTTCCGACAAGTGTGTAGATTAAAACCAGTAGGGAATATAATTAAGATACTTGCTGAAAACATTTTATCTTAAAACTATGAACTATGAAGATTTTAGAGAATTTTCAGTGGATTTAAAAATTAATAGAAACAATTTTTAAATTGAATTTTCATTCTCCAGAATATGACTCATACCTCGATTAAGTGTCTGTGACATTCGGTTTCTGAAAACACTGTGTGTTACCTGAGGGGAATCTTGGTCTAGAACCTCCCTGCCTTCAAAGCTGAGAAATGAATCACAGAGAACCCCTTTTCTGTTTAGGCTGTGGAAGTCTTTAGCCAACTGGTAGGTAAAGTAAGATAAGCATTATTCCTGGGAGAAGGCAGCTTCATGTAGAAGAAGGATTTCACCAATTAGTTGTTCACTTTCCCCTTTGAAGTTTTCTACCTGGGTTTAAATGAATCCACCTGTATGGCCTTAGAGCCAGTAGGAGGATGAAATTTTCCTTCCATAGTTAAGCCTGTATTATGTTACAGCATTTCAACTTGCTTCCAAAGGTGGAAACATGGCTTCTGCAACTTGAACAGACTATGCAAGAAACAGTGCGTCTTTCTATCACCGAAGCCATAGTGGCCTATGAGGAAAAACCTAGGGAACTGTGGATTTTTGATTTCCCGGCTCAAGTTGCACTAACCAGCTCGCAAATATGGTGGACCACAGATGTCGGAATAGCCTTCAGTAGACTGGAAGAAGGCTACGAAACAGCCCTAAAGGATTTCCATAAAAAACAGGTATTTTATAGATTTGTGATTGTGAGACATAAAGGAACTTCAAGACATAAGCTTGCTTCATTCACTTTTTTAGTCATTCATTTGTAGAGTGTCTTCTGTGTGCAAAATACTATGCTGGGAAGATTTTGGCAATCAGTTGTTCAATCATTTTTTACCTTTGTGGTATCCTTCTTATTTTCTATATGGGGGTTTTATTTTTTTAATCACTTAATGATTTTATTTTGTTTTTAATTTATTTTCCAGTTTTCATATTGGCCCACTTCTTACAATTCAAACTTAATTTTTAAAATTAAATTATCATAGGGATCATTTATATTTTAAAATTTTAACCCAACTATATAAGTATATAGTATATAAGCATGCTTTTTCTTTTTTTTATTGCATTTTAGGTTTTGGGGTACATGTGTAGAACATGCAGGATAGTTGCATAGGTACACACGTGGCAGTGTGATTTGCTGCCTTCCTCCCCTTCACCCACATCTGGCATTTCTCCCCATGCTATCCCTCAACACCTCCCCCCCCTGCTGTCCCTCCCCTATTCCCCCCAATAGACCCAAGTGTGTAGTGCTCCCCTCCCTGTGTCCATGTGTTCTCATTGTTCATCACCCGCCTATGAGTGAGAACATGCGGTATTTCATTTTCTGTTCTTGTGTCAGTTTGCTGAGAATGATGTTCTCCAGATTCATCCATGTCCCTACAAAGGACACGAACTCATTGTTTTTGATTCCTGCATAATATTCCATGGTGTATATGTGCCACATTTTCCCTGTCCACTCTATCATCGATGGGTATTTGGGTTGGTTCCAGGTCTTTGCTATTGTAAACTGTGCTGCAATGAACATTCGTGTGCATGTGTCCTTATAGTAGAATGATTTATAGTCCTTTGGATATATACCCAGTAACGGGATTATTGGGTCAAATGGAAATTCTATTTCTAGGTCCTTGAGGAATCCCACACTGTCTTCCACAATGGTTGAACTAATTTACACTCCCACCAACAGTGTAAAAGTGTTCCTATTACTCCACATCGTCTCCAGCATTTGCTGTCTCCAGATTTTTTAATGATCACCATTCTAATTGGCGTGAGATGGTATCTAAATGTAGTTTTGATTTGCATTTCTCTAATGACCAGTGATGATGAGCATTTTTTCATATGTTTGCTGGCCTCATGTATGTCTTCTTTTGTAAAGTGTCTGTTCATATCCTTTGCCCATTTTTGAATGGGCGTGTTTGTTTTTTTCTTGCAAATTTGTTTTAGTTCTTTGAAAATTCTGGATATCAGCCCTTTGTCAGATGGGTAAACTGCAAAAATTTTTTCCCATTCTGTTGGTTGCCGATTCACTCTAATGACTGTTTCTTTTGCCGTGCAGAAGCTGTGGTGTTTGATTACGTCCCATTTGTCTGTTTTGGCTTTTGATGCCAATGCTTTTGGTGTTTTGGTCATGAAGTCCTTGCCTACTCCTATGTCCTGAATGGTTTTGCCTAGATTCTTTTCTAGGGTTTTGATGGTGCCAGGTCTTATGTTTAAGTCTTTAATCCATCTGGAGTTAATTTTAGTGTAAGGTGTCAGGAAGGGGTCCAGTCTCTGCTTTCTGCACATGGCTAGCCAGTTTTCCCAACACCATTTATTAAACAGGGAATCCTTTCCCCATTGCTTGTTCTCATCAGGTTTATCAAAGATTGTATGGTAGTAGATATGTTGTGTTGCCTCCGATGCCTCTGTTCTGTTCTGTTCCATTGGTCTATAACTCTGTTTTCATACCAGTACCATGCTGTTTTGATTACTGTAGCCTTGTAGTATAGTTTGAGGTCCAGTAGTGTGATGCCTCCCGCTGTGTTCTTTTTACTTAGAATTGATTTGGCTATGCGGGCTCTCTCTTGGATCCATATGAAGTTTAAGGTGGTTTTTTCCAGTTCTGCGAAGAAGGTCATTGGTAGCTTGATGGGGATAGCATTGAATCTGTAAATTACTTTGGGCAGTCTGGCCATTTTCACATAATTGATTCTTCCTAACCATGAACATGGAATGTTTCTCCATCTGTTTGTGTCCTCTCTTATTTCATTTAGCAGTGGTTTGTAGTTCTCCCTGAAAAGTTCCTTTACAATCCTTGTTAGTTGTATTCCTAGATATTTTATTCTCTTTGTAGCAATTGCAAATGGCAGTTCATTCTTGATTTGGCTCTCTTTAAGTCTGTTATTGATGTATAGGAATGCTTGTGATTTTTGCACATTGACTTTGTATCCTGAGACTTTGCTGAAGTTGCTTATCAGTTTCAGGAGTTTTTGGGCTGAGACCAAGGGGTCTTCTAGATATAATATCATGTTGTCTGTAAATAGAGACAATTTGGCTTCCTCCTTTCCTATTTGAATACCCTATATTTCTTTTTCTTGCCTGATTGCTCTGGCTAGAACTTCCAGTACTATATTGAATAGGAGTGGTAAGAGAGGGCATCCTTGTCTAGTGCCAGATTTCAAAGGGAATGCTTCCAGTTTTTGCCCATTTGGTATGATATCAGCTGTTCGTTTGTCATAAATAGCTTTTATTATTTTGAGATACATTCCATTAATACCGAGTTTATTGAGGGTTTTTAGCATAAAGGGCTGTTGAATTTTGTCGAAGGCCTTCTCTGCGTCAGTTGAGATAATCATGTGGTTTTTGTTTTTGGTTCTGTTTATGTGGTGAATTATGTTTATAGACTTGCATATGTTGAACCAGCCTTGCATCCCCAGTATGAATCCTGCTTGATCATGGTGGATAAGCTTTTTGATGTGCTGCTGCAATCAGCTTGCCAGTATTTTATTGAAGATTTTTGCATCTAGGTTCATCATGGATATTGGCCTGAAGTTTTCTTTTCTTTTTGAGTCTCTGCCAGGCTTTAGTATCAGGATGTTGTTGGTCTCATAAAATGATTTGGGAAGGATTCCCTCTTTTTGGATTATTTGGAATAGTTTCAGAAGGAATGGTAACAGTTCCTCTTTGTGTGTTTGGTAGAATTTGGCTGTGAACCCATCTGGACCTTGGCTTTTTTTGTGTGGTAGGCTCTTAATTGCTGTCTCAACTTCATATCTTGTTATTGGTCTATTCTTAGTTTCGAGTTCTTCCTGGTTTAGGCTTGGGAGGACACAAGTGTCCAGGAATTCATCCATTTCTTCCAGGTTTACTAGTTTATGTGCATAGAGTTGTTTGTAACATTCTCTGATGATAGTTTGAATTTCTGTGAAATCTGTGGTGATTTCCCCTTTATCATTTTTTATTTCATCTATTTTGTTATTCTCCCTTTTCTTTTTTATTAATCTGGTTAGTGGTCTATTTTGTTGATCTTTTCAAAAAACCAGCTCTTGGATTTATTGATTTTTTGAGGGGTTTTTCATGTCTCTATCTCCCTCAGTTCTGCTCTGATCTTATTTCTTGTCTTCTGCTAGGTTTTGAGTTTTTTTTATCTTGCTCCTCTAGCCCTTTCAATTTTGACAATAGGGTGTCAATTTTGGATCTCTACACTCTTCTCATGTGGGCACTTATTGCTATATATTTTCCTCTAGAGACTGCTTTAAATGTGTCCCAGAGATTCTGGTATGTTGTGTCTTCATTCTTGTTGGTTTTTAAGAACTTCTTTATTTCTGCCTTCATTTCATTGTTTATCCAGTCAACATTCAATAGTCAGTTGTTTAGTTTCCATGAAGCTGTGCGGTTCTGAGTTAGTTTCTGAATTCTGAGTCCTAACTTGATTGCACTATGGTCTGAGAAACTGTTTGTTGTGATTTCAGTTGTTTTGCATTTGCTGAGGAGTGCTTTACTTTCAATTATGTGGTCAATTTTCGAGTAGGTGTGATGTGGTGCTGAGAAGAATGTATATTCTGTGGATTTGTGATGGAGAGTTCTGTAAATGTCTTTCAAGTTTGCTTGTTCCAGGTGTGAGTTCAAGTCCGGGATATCCTTGTTAATTTTCTGTCTGGTTGATCTGTCTAATATTGACAGTGGAGTGTTAAAGTCTCCCACTATTATTGTGTGGGAGGCTAAGTCTCTTTGTAAGTCATTAAGAACTTGCCTTATATATCTGGGTGCTCCTGTATTGGGTTCATATATATTTAGAATCATTAGATCTTCTTGTATCCATCCTTTTACCATTACATAATGTCCTTCTTTGTCTCTTTTGATCTTTGTTGCTTTAAAGTCTATTTTATCAGAGACGAGAATTGCAACTCCTGCTATTTTTTTGCTCTCCATTTGCTTGGTAAATCTTCCTCCATTCCTTTATTTTGAGCGTTTGTGTATATTTGCATGTGAGATAGGTTTCCTGGATACAGCACACTGATGGGTTTTGGCTTTTTATCCAATTTGCCAGTCTGTGTCTTTTGATTGGTGCATTTAGCCCATTTACATTTAGGGTTAATATTGTTATGTGTGAGTTTGATACTGCCATTTTGATGGTAGCTGCCTGTTTTGCCTGTTACTTGATGCAGATTCTTCATTTTGTTGATGCTCTTTAGCATTTGGTATGTTTTTGGAATGGCTGGTACTGGTTGTTCCTTTCTATGTGTAGTGCCTCTTTCAGGAGCTCTTGTAACGCAGGCCTGGTGGTGACAAAATCTCTGAGTACCTGCTTGTTCATGAAGGATTTTATTCTTCCTTCACTTATGAAGCTTATTTTGTCTGGATACGAAATTCTGGGTTGAAAGTTCTTTTCTTTAAGGATGTTGAATATTGGCCCTCACTCTCTTCTGGCTTGTAGGATTTCTGCTGAGAGATCTGCTGTGAGTCTGATGGGCTTCCCTTTGTGGGTAACCTGACCTTTCTCTCTGGCTGCTCATAGCATTTTCTCCTTCATTTCAACCCTCGTGAATCTGACAATTATGTGCCTTGGGGTTGCTCTTCTTGAGGAATATCTTTGTGGTGTTCTCTGTATTTCCTGGATTTGAATATTGTCCTGCCTTGCTAGGTTGGGGAAGTTTTCCTGGATAGTATCCTGAAGAGTATTTTTCAGCTTGGATTCATTCTCTTC